AAAACATTAAAGGAGGATATATATTAACCATCGACCACATATGAGATGGGAATCAATGTTCATTCATCGACAATATCCCGGTCCATACACAGCTGGCCTGTATGGGCGAATGGCAAGAAAGAAGCCATTACTGAAAAAGAATAATTTTAAATCTCGTATGGTGTTTGCGACAAAGCATGTAAATGATATTGCAGACATATGGCAGAAGCTTTTGTGATCAAACGAGAAAAAAAGTTGATATTTTTGGTCTAGATTCAAAATGTTAGATCTGGCGCAAGCCCAACACAGTACATCACCTAGTCAACACCATCACAACTGTTAAGCATGGTGGTGGCAGCATCATGTTATGAGTATGCTTCTCATCAGCAGGGATTAGGAAGCTTGTCAGGATTGAATGAGAGATGGATGGTGCAAAGTATAGGTGAATCCTAGATGAAAACCTGCTTCAGTAGGCCAAGAATCTAAAACTGGGTCGATAATTTACATTTCAGCAGAACAATGATCCGACACACAAGGCCAAAGCCACACTGGAGTGGTTTCAAAAGAAAGTGAATGTCCTGGAGAGGCCCAGTCAAACTCCTGACTTGAATCCAATATAAAATTTATGGCGAGACTTGAAGATCCCTAATGAACTTGTTGGAATTAGAGAACTTTTGTCAGGAGGAATGGGCAAAAATTGCACCACCCCATTGTGCAAAGCTGGTAGAGACCTATCCAAAAAAGACTCGCAGCAATAATTGCTGCCAAAGGTTTTCCTACCAAGTACTGACTTAGGAGGCTGAATACTTATACAATTAGCAAATTTCAATTTATGTATTTTTTTCTTTTGCAGGCTTTGGTGACATTCAACCTCCTTCACACAAAACAGTGTCAAGTTTGATCATTAGAGTTTTTATTAAAAACAAGTTAATTAAAAAAATAGTTTACATTACTTGTATTTCACCAAAATGTGACATTATTGGTAGGGAGTGCTTTCAATCTATGCAACCAAATCTAAGGTCTAGTTTAGATGTATAAAATTAAGTTTCTGTCATTATTATTACATCTACATCCAAACCTGAGACTAAAAAGATGGAAATAACAGGTCTAACATTAATGTTAGATCTAAATGTACAAGCGACTTAATCTAGAAACTGTAATCTAGCACCACTAATTAGTTAGCCTATATTTAAGTTTTCTCATTCTATCAAAACCTTTAATATTAAATACAGCCTTTGAGCCTCTAGGCTTATATTATGTTATGATTACACCCTTCTCCACAGTGTGTGTAATTTTCATTCGAGCAATTTCAGACTTGTCTCCTGCAGTGTTCGTGTAGTTAAACCTATCGAGTTTTTAAATGTGATTTAGCAACTGCCA